CACACACACACACACACACACACACACACACACACACACACACACACACACACACACACACACACACACACACACACACACACACACACACACACACACACTAGGGCAGCACTGATGCTGATAGCAGGATCAGATATGGGTTTGATGCTGCATATTGTTGCTGGATCGGGTACTGGCCTGCTGGTTCTGATGCAAATCTGATCTTGTGTGAGGGAGTTGGTGAGGGATTATACAGTAAAGCTGGCCTCAGACGGTTTAGTGGAGTCTGCTCAAACCTGCAGGATGATGACTTTACTCAGTCCACACTTCAGTGCCATGACCAACACTCAAACACTGCAGCCTGTAGAGTCCAGCAGCGTCATGCAGCTCAGAGTGTGTCGTCTGTCATGTACAGCGGCCTGTAGATGTGCTGCTTTACTAGAGAGGATATAGAAACTGTATAATGCTCAAACCAGCACAGTGTGGAGATCAATACTCTCTCACACACACACACACACACACACACACACACACACACACACCAGCAGAGACGTGTCTTGCAGCTCGTATAAAGGCTCAGAATGGCTCTCCTTCAAGTGTCCTGACACAGCGCTGATGAGCAGGTGTGTGTTGTCCTGCAGGTGATGGAGATGGACGGTTCGGGCCGGCGGGTTCTGCTGGAGGATAACCTGCCGCATGTGTTCGGCTTCACGCTGCTGGGAGACTACATCTACTGGACGGACTGGCAGCGGCGCAGCATCGAGCGCGTGCACAAGCGCAGCACCGAGCGGGAGGTCATCATCGACCAGCTGCCCGACCTCATGGGCATCAAGGCCACGTTCGTCCACCAGACCTTCGGTAAGCTAATGCTAATGCTAATCCGCTACAGCGCATTACTGCATCACTCCACCTGTATTTGGAAAAGCCTCATTTCACGAGTCTCCCAGAGTTCAATGCATTCAGCCGGTCTCTTGTTTTAGCTTAGCTTAGCATAATGAGTAGAATCAGATTAGACCATTAGCATTTCATTTAAAGAGTTATTCATTCATATGTATAAGATGTGTTCTCTAGGCAAATATTAACAGGAACTATACTAAATACATAATAAAACATGTCGCAGCTGCACCAGGCGGAGGGATATTACACAGCAAAGGAGAACCGGCTACTTTTAGAGCGCTCCTGTTCTGTCAGATAACACAACAGATTTAGCATGATTGGATGTGTCAAACAAACCCTCTCCATTCAGAGAACACCGCTAATAACAGCTAATATCCCTTTATGAATCAGCAGTCGCCACAGCGGAATGAACCGCCAACTATTCCAGCATATTTTATACACAGCGGATGCCCTTCCAGGCGTTTGCCATTCCCCTATAGCGCATGTGTTTGGACTGTGGGGGAAACCGGAGCACCCGGAGGAAACCCACACCAACACGGGGAGAACATGCAAACTCCACACAGAAACACCAACTGACCCAGCCGAGACTCAAACCAGAGACCTTTTATAAACCATTTTTAAAATACTTGATTGTGTGTGTGTGTGTGTGTGTGTGTGTGTGTGCGCAGGGGTGAACCCGTGTGCGTGGGCTAATGGCGGCTGCAGTCACCTGTGCCTGTACCGGCCTCAGGGTGTGTCGTGTGCGTGTCCTATCGGCCTGGAGCTGATGGCGGATCTCAGCACCTGCATCGTCCCCGAGGCCTTCCTGCTGTTTTCCCGCCACACCGACATCAGACGCATCTCCCTGGAGACCAACAACAACAACGTGGCCATCCCACTGACCGGCGTCAAGGAGGCGTCCGCCCTCGACTTCGACATCACCGACAACCGCATATACTGGACCGACATCACACTGAAGGTCAGCGCACGCGCACACACACACACACACACACACACACACACACACACACACACACACACACGCACACACACACGACAACCACATATACTGGACCGACATCACACTGAAGGTCAGCGCGCGCACGCGCACACACACACACACACACACACACACACACACACACACACACACACACACACACGACAACCACATATACTGGACCGACATCACACTGAAGGTCAGCGCACACACACACACACACACACACACACGACAACCGCATATACTGGACCGACATCACACTGAAGGTCAGCGCACACACACACACACACACACACAACTAAACCAACACACTGCACACACACACAGAATTCTGTTGTTTATTGTGTAGTGCAGCGTGTGTGTGTGCAGTGTGTTGGTTTAGTTGTGTGTGTGTGTGTGTGTGTGTGCTTGTGTGTGTGCTCGTGTGTGTGTGTGTGTGTGTGTTGTTGATTGTGCAGTGTGTTGGTTTAGTTGTGTGTGTGTGTGTGTGTGTGTGTGTTGTTGATTGTGCAGTGTGTTGGTTTAGTTGTGTGTGTGTGTGTGTGTGTGTGTGTGTGTTGTTGATTGTGCAGTGTGTTGGTTTAGTTGTGTGTGTGTGTGTG